ACATCACTGAGCTCGGTCGCAGAATCGTCGCTGTTTTAGGTCAAAAGCGGTTTTAGACCAGGTAGAAAACAGCGATAGTAAATTAGAACTACTTGCAGAATTGAGTGATAGCGATTCGTTGGGAAATTCCTCAACAGACACTGAAAGTGAGGACAGCGAGGATTCTGCGACCGAGCTCAGTGATGTGCGAACTTGGTACTTTATTTACTGTGGTACGGATCAGGCAACGCCCCCGGAATTCCCATTTACTGGACCATTTTTATTTTATTATTTATTATATGATAATTTCTTATAATTGTGAAATAGTGTCAGGCAGGGCAGTGGACAAAGCTCTAGGGACAAAATTGAAGTGAAATAGTTTGATATATAAGTGTAATCATAGCAGATCACATTGTATTGTGTGTATTCTGTGTACATTACAACTTTTCACTTTTGAATTTCCCGCCGGCTGTGACGCTCAAACGAAACTAAAAGTCAGATGCCGGCTTTTAGTTTCATTTTCGAGCCGCGTACAGCAGAAGACGCCGCGGGATCGCAGGGACAAGGTGAGTGTCAGTTTTCTCTGCAGCCCCGAGTCTGGCTCGGGGTTACCGCTCCTAGCATTGAAAATTCACCCCGAGCCAGACTCGGGAATACCGCCAGGGAGGTTAATATAGTAAAAAAGAAAACCCGTAGTGATTTATATACCACCAAAAGAAAGCGCTATCTGTCCCCAAAAAATGGTATAACATTCATTTCAGTACAACGTTCCATGACGGAATAAATGTCAAAGTACCGCGGTGCTGAATACTGAAAAATAGCCTGGACGGGAAGGGGGTGTAAACACCTGGTCAGCAAGTGGTTAAGGACATGATGGTCAGGGGAAGTTCTGTCTGGTGCCTCCTTTCCTGGGGTCTCATATATTTTATAGCTTAATATTTAATCCAGCCCTGGCTGCAATATTTAGTTCTTGAGTTTAAATACACCAAGAAATTGAAGATTACTTCTCGGATGGTACATTGTTACAGTAGGAACAGATGGTTTGGTTACATATGTTTGGCACCAATATATTTGCTGGGCACCATACGTAACAATCTGTTGACCTTTAAAGTAATTGTCTGATGGTATCTTTTAGTGAAGCTGCACCATGATTCCTTTGCTGTTTGTTTTGTGTGCGTTTGTTCAAAACCAATGAATGTTTCAAACGGGAGATATTTTTACATGCAGAAATCAAATTGTGCAGCTGTAACAGGCCAGGTTAAGGGCTCTTCAATATCAGATGTATTAAGCTGCATTGATGCAAGGACACAAAGAAAACAGTTGTTCTGTGTCCTAGTCATTGATGTGTTGCATAAAAATCTGACATGTCTGCATTTTTATACAATGCACATGTGGCATTGTGCATAAAGTTATTTTGTTGCACTTCAATACAATTGAAATAAAGGAAACAAGACTGCAATGCATTGTAGTCATTTAATCATAGGCCCTGGCTTATATCCAGCCACCTTCTGGTGATTCAACACCGGAAAACAGATTTGTTGTACAGCCAATATAATCCATCTCACTACTAGCAAATCCTCAGGGGTTTTTGTTTTTTTTTTTGGTACTATGGGTTAAGGACAACACCCCTTAAGTTGGTTTCTAGCTAAGTCTTAATCTACAAATATGAAGAGGACTTTCACTTCAACCTAGCTGCTCCTAAGCCCCTGAGGCTGTGATCTTGCTGCTTCTGCGCCTCTTGGGGAGTGGGCCTGGGCCCTGCCATGTGGAAGACTCTGATCTGGCCTGTAATGTTGCTTAGAGTAGGGATTTGCCGATACCATGCTTTCCAGACAGGGTACTGATACTTTTCCTCAAGTATTCACTGCTGCCAATTACCGATTTTTTTATTTTTTTATTTTTTTTTGCGTTATGTAACAGTTTTTCTAAAACAATGCAGACTAGTGATTTTTAGACAGTGGTGGAGCACCAGGGCCCAGTCACAGCTGCAACCCTGGTAGTTTTGCCACTGACTCCAAGCTGTAAAAGGGACTACAAATCTCAGCAATCAATTATACAGCAATGCAGAATACCACAAACAATACGGCACTACAAATCCCAGCAATACATTATGCAGCAATTCAGAATAATATGTAGCTTCATACTCTGTTGCTTACTAGGGCTGCATGCGGGTCTAACTAAGGCTGTACAGGCGCGTGTCACCATGGTGGCGGGAAGGAGGAGAGTCCAGCTGTACCGGCGCTATAAAAGACAGCCACCACAGGTCCCCAGCAAACGTGGGGCCTCACGCCAGCCGCTCCTGTTTAAAAATTTAAAGCACCAATATCGTATCTTAGTATCGGGACATTTTCACAAGTACTCATGAATTGACCCACACCCGGAAACTATGGGTCTTCCAGGGGGTCTGGTAAGGGATTTATGAATTTTCGGGAGGGCGTAGAATACTTGTGCTCTGGGAAAAGGGACCCTCAGGAAGTTAAATATATATATAGTAATCATTAGTCATAATCACTACGTTTCCCCCCTTGTCCGCAGGTTTGATCACTATTTGTTTATTATTTTTTAGATCTTCTAGAGCAGTTCTTTCCGGAGGCGTGAGGTTATCCTCCTTAATTTTTATTGGTAAAGCCCCCATAATATCCCATGAAAATGCCCAGTATCGGCACCAATACTGGTATTGGTGCAGCCCTAGCTTGGAGCAATGGACATTGCGTTAAGCGCTCACCTCCTAGGTATAACAGTACAGCAAGGTGCAGTTATTTGCAGGGTGCTCTACAGGTCCAGGGCAGTGGGTAAAACACTGATAGATCTACAAGACTTGTGGGGTGGTTAGTTGGGGTTAGGCCCCCACTAGACCTGAAGGTCTCTCTTCCACCTTCTCCCTTACTATGGGTGTCCCTGGACTTCTGCCTTTTCACAAAGAGTTGGTGTGTCGTATGGCAACTACAAGACATTAAACAATGTGTCGTGATATGGGGGGCTGTCCAACACTTTTCCATTGCACAATGCCATCTGGTCACAGCGGCTATGTGGTCCTGTCACACACATACTTTTAACTAGATAGGAATTTTCAGCTTCCATGGTGAATCATTGGGAATGCCTCTACACTAATGGATGCTGCTAAAGGGCATAAGTGTTCCCAGTTGGTGTCCCCCACCGAGTCGCTTGTGCTGTTGACTGTCCCAGAACTTTTGTTTCTGGATGATGATGAGGGGGGAGGATGGTGTGGAGGGGGAGTAAGAGTCGTTGGGCTCAAAAAAACATTGTGGTTTTGGTGGATGTGGTACATACTTGTTTAACACTAGAAGCACCTCTTCCTACTGGCCCCGAGGTGACCAGAATGCATTCTCTGAAGCCTTCAATTCTTCAGCATGGAGACCATTGGATTCTACACAATGCCTTGAAGCCTCTGCACTTTTCAGGAGTAATTATTTTGGTTCCCTTGGAGGAATGTGTACAAGAGTTTTACCCCAACCTGTTTACTGTTTCAAAACTCAGTGGGGGTGTTTGCCACATCCTGGACCTGAAGGTTTTCAACACCTTTCTGTGGGTTCACAAATCCCACATGGAATTGCTCTGCTTTGCAATTGCACCACTGCAGCAAGGGGAATTATTGGCATTGATAGACATCAAGGATGCGCACATGTCCACATCTTCCCTCCGCATTGGTGGTTCCTGTGCTTAGCAGTGGGAAAGCAGCACTTCCAGTTTGTAGCTCATTCCCCCAAATCATCCACATTGTGGGAAATCTCCTAAAGGAGAGCTCAGCCCAGGCCCTCTTTGTCAATGTTCAGGGGATGCTTCAGACACCTCAGAACCTCTAGTACATCCTGAATTTACAGTAGTCTACATTGGGTCTGACCCATCCCATGAGTACCTGGGCAAGTTCTCTACTTCTGGGTCCATCCAGGGGATGAACAGGCTGACTTCAGGGATCTCTGACAATGTGGTGGTAGTAACTTACATTAAACATCAGGGCAGCACCAGAAATTACGCAGGCCAAAAGCAGACTTCATTCTGAAAGGCACATTCTGCACTTGTCTGATGTCCATATTCCCGAATAGACAATTGACAGGCTGACTTTTGCAGTCGACAGATTCTGGGTGCAGGAGAATGGTGTTTCTACCCAGAGGTGTTTTGGGAAATCATGTCACCTGTGGGGAACTCCAGACCTAGATGTCTTGGCATCCCATGTCAGTAACAGGACGGACAGATTTGTGGTCAGGACCCGGGATCCTCAGCTCTTTGCAGTGGATGTGTTAGTGACACCATGGCATCAGTTTCAGCTGATATGATTTGCCTCAAGTCCGCATACTGCCGCGATGGCTCTGCAGGAATTAGATGGAGGGCATTTCAGAGATCCTGCTGGCAAGGAACTGGCCCAGGTTTGTTTTTAGACATCCTCCTGTTCCTGAGCGAATTTCAGTGGGCTCTTTCCCAACCAGCCAGACCTGTTATCTCAGGAGCTGGTACACCATCCGGCTTCTCGTTTGCTGGCTTTGACAGCTTTGCTGTTGAAGCCCGGGTGGGACCTGGCTCTGTCTTGGTTATGCCTATGCTTTTGAACACTAGGAAGACAACTTCTATCTTCTCTTCTCATCACATTTGGAAGGCCGTCTTTTTCTGGTGCGAGGAATGAGGGCTCCATCCTAGACTGTATTCTGTGGGGCGTATATGTAATTTCTCCAATCAGGTTTGGAGCAGCACTTGGCCTTGAGTGCCTTCAAGGGTCAAATCTCTTGGCTATTCTTTCAGAGGCCTATTGTTGCTCAATATCTGGTGAAAACTTTTGTACAGGGGGTGGCTCATTTTGCTCCTCCCCACCCCCATTTATTACTTGGTATCGCTGTGGGATCTTAATCTGGTCCTGTCAGCTCTCCAGAGGCCTCATTTTGAGCCTATTAGGCATATTCCTTTGGTGGACCTTACTTCAAAGGTGGACAACCTCATGGCTATCACATCTTCAAGACAGGTTTCCAAAGTTGCGGCCCTATCCTGTAGACATTGTCCAGCATTTTCTTTGCCTTGCTCCAAAGCATCCCAAAAGGATTTCCCTTCATTCTTTGAATGTGGTGTGGGTCATGCGAGTCTACCTTTCAGCCATTGGTCAATTGGTAATCACTTTGTCCTGCCTACGGACCTCAGCAAGGGGCTCCCTGCATCTTGTTCCACCGTTGCTAGGTAGAATAGGCAGGTTGTCTCGACTCAACTAGGTCTATCCATGCCTCTTTCACATTTCAGCACTAGGTGTCTATGATTAAAGGAAACTGTGTCCTGTATTGTATGGTTAAGACTTTTTTTTGTTTTGTTTTGTTTTTCGACTTGCCTGTACAATCCTTTTCTTGCAGTACTACACAGGATACCCTCCCCTCTCTCCTGGTGGTTTTTCTCTCATTCCTTGCTTCAAAACTGAGAATTTACTGGGCATGAGAGGGGTTATATGAGCTATGCCACAATTCTATTCTATAATCCTAAAGGTGTCTTCTTATGACCCAGGGTCTATGCTAAATGGAGCCTCTGTCCTGAATATCAAGGAAAGGATTTTACAGGTAAGGCAAAAACGCTATTTCTTTTTTGATATTGTTCAGCTGTGAATCTTCAAATGTGTAATACCACAACTGGTCAGTGCAAGCTGTATTAACTGAACTAATTTAGCTAGCTGGTTTACTTAGTGATGATAGGTTTAATAAGCAAAGTCCATGTTCTGGAAATAATTCTCATGAAATAAGTATTTTCAAAAGTCAGTGACTGGTGAGTTGACATTACTGTTTCACACATTGGAAAATTAACCATAGACCTCTGATGAGGGGTATACACCAATCAACCATAACATTATGACCTCCTGCCTAATGTTAAGTAGGTCCCCTTTTGTCACCAGCACAGCCCTATATTAGGATGCATAATTGCTGTTAGCAGCTTTCATACCTCCTCTAGATGCTATGATTATAATAAAATTATAGTCAAAAATAATTATATAAGACTCACCATACCCATTATAATCTGGTTGTATGATCTACTAAAATTGGATAGAATTGTACATAAATATAAAGGTGTGTGAACTCTCATAAGTTCCAGTGAAACTTTGGATGAGGTTGTATAACACATTGATTTGGGCCTTCATGTATATTATAATAGATATCTCCTGATTTTTTTTTTTTTTTTTT